CTTCTCTTCTGTGTCCATGCCAATCCCTGTGGAGTCTTTCCTTGCCTGACATGTGAGTTAGGACTTGTGGTTGAAAAGAAATGAAGAGGAAGTGAAATGTGAAAGAAAGGAAACTACAAATCTATGAGAAAATAAGACCTTTGTCATTTGTGCTGGTGTGATGAGTGATCAGGCTAGGCTGAGGAGACTGTCTGGTTGGGTGGAACAGGAATGCTGCCAGAAGCCTGAAGAAGAGTGTGAAAGGACAGGGGACACCACAAGGGCACGAGGCCTGGTTTGCTTGGACAACATCTTCAGAAAGGGTACACAGCCCTTGTTCCAAACTGCTAGTTCCAAACTTGGGCAGAGTGAGTGCAGGAGGCATGGAGGGAACCAAAGTGAGGAAGTGGCAGCACGCTGGTGCTTCTCATGCCGCTTACAGCTGTCACAAGTGCATAGGAAGACCAGGGACACAAGTAGAGCTGTGGCTTCCGTCATTGCCCCCTGAATAATTACACGCAGAAACCACATGTTTTTACCTCCGGTTTCTGTTATGGTACAGGATCCTCATGTTGAAGGCTCTGGCTCTCTGAGCCAGTTTGTACCCAATGCTGCCCATCCCGATGATCCCAAGCGTCGCTCTGGTTACTTCCACTCCCAGCCAGTCAACAGCAAAATGCTTCGTGTCTGGAGAAACCGCAATCTGGCAGCCTGAATGTAAGTACATGCTGAATGGGTACAAATCAGCAATAAAAGTAGGTCTGGGGGACAGAAAAAGTTTGTCACCATCACAGCAGTGAGGCTCTGGAGCACCCCTACAAAATATCCTGGCTAATTTTGACCAGTTCATAGAAGGGCCTGGATGGTGCCAATCCCTGCAGCCAGGGCTGGAGTCAGTAACACAGCAGGGTCCTGACTGGGTATTGTGCTAGGAGGAATGGCTCCTCAGGGAAGTACCTCTTCCATGGCCGGTGCATTTTCTTGGAAGTTCAAAAATAGCTTCTTTAACACTTACCACCCTGCAAGCATTGATTTCACTTTTTTTTATTTGGGGTAAATCTCAGCATTTCTCTCCTGGATCACAACCCAAAGCAGACTCACTGCTTGAGTGAGGGTGAAGGTTGCACATTCCAGCTCAGCCAAGGATCTCTGTGAGCTTTTGTACACAGAACTTGAAGTTCAACAAGATACAATAGTGAGAAAACATCACCGGGAAAGATGCTATTTCATGCTCAAGGGTGGAGCAGCAGTGACAATAAGACTGAGTCCCTGAAGACAGAGGCAGCTTCTTGTGATAGTCTCTACTGACACCTTCCTTTCTCAAAAAGGCATTGTGTAGCAAGGACATGTGGAGAAAAAACCCTTGTGGGGAAAGGAGACTAATGGTGGTGGTACAGCGTGAAATAACTTTGTCAAAAGGATTATCACCTATTTCAATCATAATGCTGATGCTCTTCAGCAAATACAACCCACTGGTTTAGATAAACTCATCACAGAAGCAGGAAAAAAAAGGAGTTACACTAATTACCAGTCTAGAGATGGGGATATGGCCATTTATGTTTTGTACCTTACTATAGCTCCTAACACTTCTTTCAAGGGGAAATGGAAAGTGGTGACACTCCATTTGGAGTATCATTTTTTACAGCTATAAACAACCCACCCAGTGAACAGCCAGAGGAGAATTAATCCCCAGGCATTATTCCAAACAGGATATCACAAGTGACTTCAAAGTGCATAATTTAGACAAAGGCCTTACTCTAGTCACAGTTGCCTTAAAAAGAAGATGGACACACGAAAAGCAGATGCCTCTGAAAACTGAGGCCTCCAAAAATTTATCCCTGTAAAAGCATCCCAAATATTAATTTAGACAGATCATCTGAATCATAGCAAAAGTGAGATATGCCAAAGAAGTAGCTAGATCCAGGAAAATTTAAAACATTACCTTCTACTAGTCTTCTGGCAGAGGCTAGCATCAAGGCCATTCCTATGTCTGCTGTTGGGTCCGCCACGGCGTGGGGGGTGTTGGTCACTTTTACTCCAAAGCTAGAGATCATTTTCAAGTCTAAGTGATCGACTCCAACTCCAGAATTTCCAATTACCTTTAAATTAGGCAGGCTTTCTAGAAGCTCCCGGTCAATAGTTGGCCTGCACTCAAACACGAAAACAGATTGGATTTTTTTGCTCATTTCTTCTTTGTTTTCAAGAAATTCCTTCATGGTGATAAGGTGAAAGTGTTTCTTCAAAAGTGCTGCAAGGTTTTCTAGCACACCTTGAGTTCCTCCTATATCCAGAATCAGAACGCCTGGCAACTCTTCTTTTGCCATGACCTGCAACAGTGGAATAGAAGAGATACTCCTTTGTTCAGGAAAACACCCTTAAAGGTGCAATGAGATAGTGATCATTTAAATTCACATCTGTAAAACAGGAACTGATGGAACTCAATACTGCTTTTAATCCACAGTCACTTGGTACTAATGTGGTGCATTAGACAATTTCCCAGTACTTTTCCCAAATGCTGATTTAGACTACAACATCAAGGAATACCCGCACTCTTATATCAAAATCCAGTTCTACAAAATGTTATTTGCAAATAGTTTCATTTTAGTTCTGAATCAATACTGATTTCATACAAATCTGGTAGCTTTTCAACCTTACTTACCAATGCATTTCTATAAACAGCGGTATGAAACAGAGGCTGCTCACAGTTTCTTGCCTATTGGCTAATGGTTGATGAAGCTGCAGGTAGTGTAGGGTGGCACTGAGCCCCAGATGGGTCTGACAAACATCTGTCAAGAATGGTATGGCTCTAACAAACCTGCATGATGAAGGGCCATCCTTAGACAGCTGCTAGACTGCTTCCCTTCAGTGTTTTAAACATCCAGACCTGTACCTGAACTTGTGCAAAACTTAGCACACCCATGCCTATATGCTGAACCAGTGGGGAAGAGCACTAGAGGTGATAATGTACTTCCCACCAACAACACAGTCCTTCATACTAGAACTTTCTCCTGCCCAGACATTTCTGAGCCTAGTCCTCTCTACCACACTCCTGCAAATGTACTGAATTCTGCAATGATACCAGCTCCACAGATAACCAAATGTCTAATTAGAGGCAGCCCTTATTGATAAAAATGGTAGTTGAAGATTTGCTGCATATCTTAACAATAGTTGTGCCTAATTTCCTACAATTCTGCTTGCTGTGCTCCACTGACGTTCAGTCTCTATCTCATACTATGTCCTATGCTTGGGTGCAGAAAGCCTGATGTTGTGCTAACTGAATCAGAACAATTTTCCCCAGCAGTATGCTGATTTATTCTGGGCACACAGTACTGGGCAGAGATGTCCTGCTGCTTCAGTCCTTTCACAAAAACCTTCTGCAAGTAACCAGAATTCAAACCTGTGACAAAAAGGTGTCAGTGTAGATTGGAAGTTTTTGTCAACCATATTTACCCTTGTCCTGAGCAAACTCAGAATTATCCCAACCACAACTATTAAATGCTTACAATCTCAACACCAATAATGCTGCTTTATCCTGGCCTTGACCTGCATTTCTTCCTCAGTTCCAGTTTGCTGCTGTTCAGAACCAGGTAGTATTATCAGAGACATTGTTTATGGTGAATTGCAGACCTGTCCTGACATGGAGATGCCTTCAAGCCCATGTACAGCAGCAAACAAGTCAACGAGATGAATTGTGCAACCAAATTGCAAAGGAAAACCATGTTCTGAAATATATCTCATCTATTTTATGGAAACTTAGGTTGTTAGCCCCATATGGTTGTGAAAATTCAAATTTTCACAGATGTAGTCTATATTTCTGAGAGTATCACACAACATGACCTTAGAAGGATAAACTAGATTCACCCTCCAGAATGAATGACATAGAATAAAAGACAAGAGTTGATGTCATATTGTGACAGCATTGTCCGGCTTTTTGATCAAAACCTGATGCACCTGCAGTAATTTACTCAGACCAGACGGCAATTAACCTCTATGCTGTTAACAGCGGTGGAAAACTGGGCATCAGATACCATCAACTGACTGGCAGATGCCAGTAAGACAGTGCTGTTTTACACCATTTGCTTTCATCACCACTTCCTCCTCCATGAAGGGTAGAGTCAGAACTGCATTCATTTTAGAAGCACTTCCTACACTGCACAAGCAGAAAGGCGATCCAGGAGTAAGCCACTAGCTTTAAACAAATAGCCAGTGCACTAGAAACAGGCTGGCTGCATGTAATCTTTTCATTACTGTGGGTATGCTCAGTTCACCACCATTTCAGCTGTGTTTGATGTGCATGTGAACCATTAATAGGCTGCAGCACTGATTCAAGAACTGATGTTCTGCTAATACTGGGTACAATCTTAAAAAATTATACTGATAGCAGTAAACTAAAAACACTTAAAGGAACCTTGCAGAAGAAAGGGGGCTCTCCAGATACCAACCTTGGTCTCAGCACTTATTGTTCGTCTTCCAGCACTACATGGGCATGTTCTGTACCTCTGTTTGTAAATCACACTTCTGTAACAGCGATGTCCATGAGAAGCAACAAGTTGATGAAAAAATTTATGAGCCAAATTTGACTGGCCAGACATCAATGGAATCGGTTTCAACAGATTGAATGCCTTGCTCATGAACATAATTATTCAGTTATCAGATGTCTTGTCCAGTGTGCTAAATATAACACCTGTCAAGGATATGACAATTTTGGTTTTGCACTAGTATCATGTGCAGTACCACTAACACCCTTTTTTTTTTTTTAAGCTGTCTCTCCTCATATTTTGTATTTACGTAAGACTATATGCTTCTATGTTTGTAAGGAATCCTAATCATTTGTAACACTGTGATATAATGCAAATGAACTAAGTTCTGGTCCTGGCATTGCAGAGAAAATTTTGAAAATATTACTTAGCTTGAGACAACTGGGCAAACAAACAGTACTGCATTAAAGTATTCATTTCAGTGCTAACTGAAGCTGGCCTTCATCTGTGGAGCTTGAGTCACTCCTTACTTGAAGATTTCTTGGCTGGCACTGCTGTATGACTTTGGACTTCACCAAATCACAGCAAAACAAACCTACATGATTTTTCCTAGCTCTGTTTTCAATTAAAGTTAACAGCATGCGTTATCCAGGATAAATTCCTCCCACTAACTTCTCTAAAGAAGGTGACTAATTACCTGAACAACAACCAAAGCACTAACCAGGGATGGTTTCTTTCTTACGACGTGCCTTTCACAGCTCGATCCTGCGGTAGCTGGAAGAGCGGAGAGCTCACAGCTCCTGCTCCCGGCGGGCACACTCAGCCTCGCTCGCTTAACCCTGCCCTGCCCGGCCCGACCACCGCCGATCCGGGAGCTGGCGGCTTCCAAGGAAGTTCCGGCACGAGGAGACCGCCCGCCGGTGCCTCTGCTTGTCTGCAATCAGACCAGGCTGCCTTTCGTCTCCTCTCCCGCCCCCGGCGCTGGACTTCCTAGAAATGCGATAAAGCCAAAGGAGGACTTTGATAGTTTTTTGAGAGCTCTGGAATTCTGGGGCAAAGTTATTTGGTACAGATTCACATTGGTCCCCATAGCCCAAGCTCAAGCTCGTACTGGTTTTTTTATAGTGGAAACTGTGGTTTTCACCCTGTTTGCTGCAAGCTAAGCTTTTAAAGAAGTGTGCAGTGTAGAATAAGATCTAATGCCTCTCAGGAAGCAAACAGAGTGGCCTGGGATGCCCTATCCCAATGGCCAGCTCGATTCTGAAAGCTAATGCTGAAACGTGCTGGTTTCACAGCTGATCACTTCCACTGGAACACTTATCCAGTGTGCTCATGTACTGGCATTTTGATTGCAAGACAGATGGGAGAGCAAAAAAGGTACGCAAGGGTGAATCTGCCAGGGGCTGGGCAGTCCAACTGCCGCGGCTGGGGGCGGTTCTGTGTGTAGTGTGTGTACATCAGAGGTGAGTGCATGAAAATTTTCATTCCAGTGAGTTAACACACTGAGAGAAGTCTTCCATAACCAGGAGATGCATGCAGCTGCTCTCTCTGTTGCAGTATAACAGAATCATAGAATGGTTTCGGTTGGAAGGAAGGGACCTTAAAGATCATCTAATCCCAAAGCCCCGGCTTTGGACACCTGCCACTAGACCAGATTGCTCAGAGTCCCATCTAACTTGACCTTGAACACTTCCAGGGCTGGGGCATCCACAGCTTCTCTGGGCATATCTCCTTGATCAAATCCCATGGAGACACAGGGAGTTTATTAACATCGTACAGTGGCCAGCAGCAGAGACACGGAGGTTTGGGCTTTGATGATCCCCATTCCATCCTCCCTGTGCCACCCAGCAGCACTGTTCGGGCCGGCCGCACCGATCCCCATGGCACGGCTCCACATCGCACCTGCGAGGGGCGATGCCCGAGGCCCTGGCCAGCAGACAGGCAGCACCACCCGGTTGGATACCGGGCTCCTCGGGCAGCTGGGCCCCCTGCCACTTCGGGAAGGGGGAAGTCCCGCCCTCCGGCGGGGCGGAAGCGTGTGTGTGCCTGCGCCGTACCCATCCCTCATTTCCGCTTCCCGTCCCGACCCGTCCCGGCGCTTCCCGCTACCCGTATCTCCGAGGAAAGGACGCCCGCGGGGTGCGCTGGGGACGGGGCGCGGCGGGATGGATGGAGAGATGGATGGGGCGGGGCAGGGGGAACTCCTTGCTGCCGCAGGGCCCGGCGAGGTGGCGCCATGAGGGTGTGGGGGTGGTCGGTCCGGGGGCTGTGGGTGCGGCGGGAACCAGGACGGGCTGTCAGCAGCCGGGGCATTCCTGTCGTCCCACAGGCTCGCCATCCGCCCGCCAGGATGTCGTACATGCTGCCGCACTTGCACAACGGGTGGCAGGTGGACCAGGCCATCCTGTCGGAGGAGGACCGGGTCGTGGTCATCCGCTTCGGGCACGACTGGGACCCGACGTGCATGAAGATGGACGAGGTCCTGTACAGCATCGCCGAGAAGGTAAAGCGGAGCTTTCTGCGCCTTCTGCGTTCAGCGTTCCCCATGGCTTGCTCGAAGCCCGGGGCAGATTGTATATAACTCGGGTTCTGGAAAGGTATTCCAGCTTTAGGAGGCAGCGGGAAAGCTGTTTGTTTTGCTTTCATGAGTGTCTCCTAAAGTCACTGACTGCCCTGATGTTTGCAGTATTTAATGGGGTGACAAGAGTTCTGAAATCAAGATCGCTGCCTTTTAATAACCCATCATTGAATGAACGACAGCATTCAAGCAAGAACAGGTGCTCGATGGTAGGGCTGTGGCTCTAGGTAAGGCAGCACTCTCACTTGCAATGAAAATATATAGCAGCTTCAGGTTTCCATTTGAATAACTTGGAAAGTTACTTTTATTTTGGCTCTTAAAAATGGTGAAGTGCTAAACTGTACAGGATAGTGTTGATTAATTTGTCAGTGTTATTATTCTGATTAATCTGTCAGTGATATTTGTGGAGACAGATAGCATTCCACTGAGTTGCATGGAGTGAATTAAATTTTGGGAGCCAAACTCTAAAGCTGTTTTCACATGGAAACTGAATGCTTGCTGACAGCTGGTTGCTTACTTAAGAAAGATATTGAAGAAAAATTAGGCTGTTAAAATACACAATCAGCTATAAGTTACCTTTTCATATATTTGCTAAAGGTTTTGCATAGTGATAGATGTAGAAAATTGATAACTCTATAACTGAACCACATGAAAAAAAGGAGCAAAATAATCTGACCCATAAATGGTAACTTGGGTAGGAAAAGATGTCAGCTATCATAGAAATCATGGAATGGTTTGGGTTGGAAGGGACCTTAAAGATCTTGTTCCAACCTCCCTGCCCTGGGCAGGGACACTTTCCACTAGACCAGGTTGCTCAGGCCTCCATCCAACCTGGCCTTGAACACTTCTAGGCATGGGGCATCCACAACTTTGCTGCCTTCATATAAAATTCTAGGCATGTTGCATAGCTTGATATGGTATTCTTTTTGTAGTGTACTCCATTGTCTTCTGATGTTATTTTTAAATAAATTAACTTGTGTCTTGAAAATCCCCACAATGAAAGATCTATACCTCCAGCCATGTGTTAAGACATAATAGAATACAGAAAGGAGTTGTGACATGTTTTGCTTTAGTTGTTTTGTGTTCAGTGTGGTGGGAGTGTCTTATGCTCAGATACTGTTAGTATGGACTTGTGGCAGGATGCTTGGCAATTTGGCAGACATGCTGGCAGTTAGGGGTGACTGGGGGAAGAAAGAACAATGTAACTTCTTATTTAAAAATCTCCCTCTGCAGAAATGGCAAATTAAAGGGGGAGATCCTTCCTCATCCTCTTGCTTACAAGCCATGTTTGGATCTCTGCTGTTTTAAAGAGTGAGTAAAAGTTCCAATTGTACAGGTGTTTATGCTGGAGAATAATTCAGAATGTTAACGTGCTGTAATTGCAGTAGACGTTCAAAGACAATGTAGTCATATTTTACATTTGTTACCATGGTGTATTATTCTTTTAGAGTGCAGCATATTTTTGGGTAGCAGTAATATTTATCTGTACTTCATGATAGGAAAACGGGAATCCTTTTGGGGAGGAGGAAACTAGAATGCTGTATGAAAATACAAAGTAGGTTAATATTCACTGAAATGTACTACACTTGCAGTTGACTGTTTTTCCCCCCAGTGTTACCTGAAAAAGAAGCAAGGTTTCACTGAATGTCAAAACAAACAATAATTGTAAGATGTTAGATTTTTTGCCTCTTCAGGATTTCAAGCAAACATGTATGAATTGAGTTCCACAAGTTTCCTCTTGAACACCTTTTTTCAAAATATACTTTTTTTTTTCTTTAAAGGAAACTCACAGTTATAAAAACCCATCCCCTGAAATACAGGGCTTTGTTTGCTAAATTAATACCCCTTGTTTAAATGATAAACCATGATTTATCTATGACTGAATACTGTAAATCAGATAACTGTTTTATTGGGTCAGTGTGGGTTTAGGGAGGATTGTTCAAATGTTGAGCATTTATTTAACCATAATCAGAAGTGTGAGAAGCTGTGGCTTTTCCTCAGACATTAATTGTGCCTCTGCATTTCTGCTAAGGTTACATGGAAAGTGAGAGAGGAAAACAATGTGGGGCAGGGAAAGAGGGAGCTATAAAAAAAGCGTATTGGTATTGTAGTTACCGGTGATTTTGTAATTAAAGTTGAGCAAGGCTAATCCATTTACTGATGTCTGTAGTTTTCAAAATTATTAGCTGTAAGTATTGCTTTTGGCAGTATAAAGCCTTTCTCTTTTCCCCTAGCAATTTATCACCTAAACTTACAGCATAATTAGCAAGAAAAAAAATTCAATACAGACTTTTAAGTTTGTACCTACTCTGTTGAGTTCAGTAATGCTAGTCTGCTAGTTGCCTTCAACTTGAATGATATGTTGCAAAAGCTAGTCTCAGTTCCTGTATTTTTTCCCTGTGAGTCCCTTGTCCATAAAATATGTAAACAGAAAAAAACATTGTCTGGAAACTGGTTAGGAAGATGAAAAGATGGAATCTTGTGTCAGTTTTTCTGAGATATTTGCTGTATGCAGTTTGGGACGTAAGGTTTGCTTCGCAAGGGCAGCTTAAATCTTAACCAAAAAAAGAAGAAGAGTATTACTTACCTCTGACAGAAATTTCAGAAAACTTAATGATTTTTGCTGTTCATCCCAGTCATTAATCATTTCCATGTCAATCTCATGTTGTAGGAATGCATAAATTTTTTTTTTAGAATGATATAATTATTGAAGAAAGTCAGGAGGGAGAACTTCAGAGGACAGATGATACTGGCATATGATTTTTCCTACATCTGTGTTTCCTGTGTACGAGCAAAGTGTGTGGTCTTCAGCAAGATAGGATACAGAACCTGTACCTGATGTTAAAGGTCCTATAGATTCCTCTGCTGTATAGTCTTGAGCCATTCAGTTTAAATATTTAATAGTAGTCCCCAAGCAGATACAGTTCTGTGAAGTATTAAAATAGCCTGTAACTGCGGCTAGGCAATAATGTACTTTTGTTTTTTCTATATGTGTGTTGAGTAATGTCCCCAAGTTCCTCAAAATGATCATTTTGCTTCTTGAGGATCAGCACGGCCAAGTCAGGTATGGCAATGCACTTTCTGAGCCCTTTCTAATAACCAATGGTGTGAAACAAGGTTGCGTTCTTGCACCAACTCTATTCACAGTCTTCTTCAGCATGATGCTCCAAAGGGCCACAGCAGACCTCGATGAAGAAAACAGTATCTACATTCGATATTGTACCGATGGAAGCCTACTCAACCTAAGGCGACTGAAGACTTTAAATCATCTTGTCCGTGAGCTGCTTTTTGCTGATGATGCTGCTCTCGTTGCCCACACAGAAGCAGCTCTGCAGCGTTTAACATCCTGCTTTGCAGAGGCTGCTGAGCTTTTTGGACTGGAAGTCAGCTTGAAGAAGACAGAAGTTTTCTCCCAACCTGCACCTCAGGAAGTTTTCCATCATCCCCATATCATCATTGGCAAATCAGAGCTCAAGTCAGTCCAGCAGTTTAATTATCTGGGAAGCATCATCTCCTCGGATGGTAAGATTGACAGAGAGATAGACAACAGGTTAGCTGTCTACTCTTTTATATGGGTCTGAATTGTGGATAATTTACTGCCACAACCTGTGACTCTTGTAATGCTTCCATCAACGCTGCCTCCTTACAATCCTAAACATTCACTGGACTGATTACGTGACTAACGTGTCTGTTCTTGGACAGGCAGTGGTTATGAGTATTGAGGCCATGTTGCTGAGAACACAGCTGCGTTGGGCAGGACACGTCTCCAGGATGGAGGACCACTGCCTCCCTAAGATTGTGCTCTATGGTGAACTTGCCACTGGCTGCCACAAGAGAGGAGCCCCGAAGAGGAGATAGAAGGACTCCTTGAAACAATATCTCAGCTTTGGCCATATTGATCATCATCATTGGTCTACTCTGGCCTCCAATCAGGAGACATGGAGACACACTATTCATAACACTGCTGCTTCTTTTGAGAACACACGCAGAATCATTCTTGAAGAGAAAAGTCAATGCAGAAAGAACCGTGTCTTGCCAATACTGCCTAAGGAGACTTTCCACTGTGCCTTTTGCAACTGGACTTGTCTGTCTTGCATTGGCCTTTTTAGCCATCAGCGCATTTGCAGCAAGCATGGGTAGAGTCCTTCTTAAATCTTCGTTTGCAAAGCCTAGCCATGATGATGAGTAATGTAGACTGATCTATGAAGCTACTTTAACTAGGGGGAGAAAAAACCCCAACCAGCAAAACTGAACCCCAACCCTTGAAAGCAAGTAATAAAATTTTAAATCTATATTGCTGTTTGACTTAGTTTCCCACTCTGACTTAGTTTACCACTCTTAGTTTCCTACTCTGTCCTGTCCCCATGAACAGCAGCTACAATGGCCTGGAAAGACAAAGTTTTGAATTGAAAAAACAGATAAA